ATATTTCAGTAGTGGCTAGAAATAATCCTTAGTTAGCCTCGATACCATTTCAGTTTGAGTGATCTTTGCCCAAGTTTTCAAGTCCCAGGGGTAGCCCCACAGGCATCATTTCTGGGAACAAAACCTGTAACTCCTGAACTCGTGTCTCCATGGCTGTGGGAACTACCCTGCCGTGCCCTGGAGATGCGGTGCCTCCCTTCTGGGTCTTCGGGGCCCCTGTTCTGGGATCCCCAATACTGTGTCGGCCGCACAGGAATGGGATGCAGTCGGTGGTGCAGCTCATCCTCTGTTCAGATTGGGGGTAGGTTTGGGTTTGGGGGGCATTTTGTTATATAGGGATTAGGGGGGTGGGTTGCCAAGAGCCCAGGAGAAGCTTTTATCAATGAACCTCCAGTCAGTTCCGCACTATTGTGGAAAGAATTGGAGTTTCCTTGAAAAATCTTAATTCCTTGAGGCTTTCACCAAAAAGCACTGCCCACCATTGCCTCCCCTGCACACGCGCAGTGTCCGCCTGTGCAGACTTTCAGCCCGTGTTCCTCGAGTGAAAGAAAGGGATTCCTCAAGTCCAGGCCGGGCCCGCCTTCAACCTTCGGAAGGGAGGACTCGACCTCGGTGCGCTGAGATCCCCCAGCCCTCCAGGGGGCGCCCCCGCCCGCGGGAGCAGACGGCGGGTGGGGACACGCCAGGGCCGCTCGGCGGAGGCGGCGGTGCCGGCGCGGTGCCTGCCTGGCCCGGCGAACCCAGGGAGCGCGCCCTGGACGCCGGGACAGCGCAGCGCCCTCCTCGCCCGGCCCCTGCGCTGGCCCCCGGGGGGCTCTGACCTCCGTGCGACTCACAGGGAGAGACCAGCGCGGGCCACCCGCGATGTCGCGGAGCGCGCCGCCCGTGGGCAGCAGCCGTGCCTCGCACAGATGCGAAGAGACGCCCGTGGGGCGCAGGATCACTGAGGCAAAGGCCTCACCGCGAGCTTGGGCATAAGTCACGGTCCCCGCGGCCGGCGGACAGGCAGCGTCCATGCGAGCCGCGCGGCGCTCTGCCGCGGAAATCCCAGGGCGTCAGGGTCGGGACGCCGCGTGGTGACTGTGCCCGACCGAGCGGGCACTGGGGGCAGAGACGCGGCCGAGGACAGGCGCGGCAGCAGCTGCAGCCAGTGCGGGATTCTGGAGGTGTCCGGACCTGGGGGGCCGCGCCTGGGGGGAGCGGGCGGAGGGCGCTTGTTTGGCACGTGCCACAAATGGACTTTGTGGGCTGGATGCTTGATCTGGAATAAAGGGCTTCGCTCAGGTTTCTCCTGCCCCTTCCGTACCTGGAAGACAATTCGGGCAGCAGTAAGGAAGCACCACTTTGCTTATCCCACCTCTCTGAAGAGCGCATGTCCGGAAATGCTGGAGCACCGCAGAGTGTGCCAGGGCACTGCAGTCCAGCCCCCACTCCAAGATGGGACATGACCTCCTCAGTCGCAGGGCTAGAAGGTAGTGGCACCAGGATGGGACTCACACCACTACCCTCCCCTGCCTCCTCATTTGGGAACCTCCTCCACGCGCCGCTTGGTTTCAGTGGCCGGCTTTGTTTGTCCCCTGATATCCCCTGACCCCCTTCCATGAGCACTTTTCATGTGCAGTCTGTGAAAGTGACACATGCCAGCCCCTCCCACCTTGTCCTTGTTTTGCAATATTTCCCAAAGGCACTTCTGTTACCGCCGGAGCAGAGGTCAGGGCAAGCGGTGGACATGTACCTGCAGGTGGTCGTAAATAATTCAAATTCAGACTTGCCCATGAGTTGGGGAAGTGCAGGGACAACACCAGCCATGACAGTTTCCCCCAACCACGTAGGTGTTGGCTGACTTCCCTAGACATCCCTTAAGTGCTTATTTATTCATTCCGAAAACATTCCTTGGGACCTCCTGTCCGTGGCACTGAGATTGCAGTGAGGAACAGGAGCGTTCGTAGAGCAGCCGCCTGTCACATGGGAGGGGCAGGCACACACACCAATGTGAAGTTGCCTGGTGAGAAGCCCTGCAAAGCCCAGGCTCACCTCACCCGGAAAGTGCCAAATGGGGGGTTTTACCTGCTGGGGGGGTGGTTGGAGATTCCCCCGTGTGTGTCATGAGTGAGCCCCAACCTGAAGGTTGAAGCGGGGGGATAAACATTCCAGACAGGAGGATCAGGGTGGGCAAATGTCCTAGGGCAGAACAAGCACCGCAGTGTGTGTGGTCGGAAAAATGACCTGATCACCAGAGAGGAAGCAGCAAGAAGAGCCAGCTGAGACTGGACGGCAAGGGCCGTGCCAAGGGGTCGGGCCTTTGCACTGGGAACGGTGGGGACCTGTTACATCATTTTAAGGGAAGGAGATGACATAATCAAATGAGCGTTTTGAAATGATTTGTCTGCTCAAGGGTAGAGAAAACTCCAGAGTGGGAGGCTGATGGGAAACCGCAGGCTGTTGTGGCAGTCCAGGTGAGGGGTGCAGACAGCTCGAACAGGGGCATGAAGGTTGCTGGCAAGAATGACAGATTCTAGAAACATCTGCAAGTCTCTGGTTTTGCCTCGCCTTCTGGGCATTAACCATGCTGAAAATAGGGACCTAAAATTTTCATTTTTTTTTCTTTTTACCTAATTCCAGAATTAGGTAAAGTGACTTCACACATTTATCCCAGTTTCACCGGATTTTTAGTGGCGGAATCCTGGGATAGCAGTAGTCAAAACCCAGGGCCCCATTTGCTGTCTTCACAGAGCGGTGTGCGAACCCAGTCCCCAGCGGGAGGAGGAGATGAGAGCTCATAAACAGCGCGCCTCTGTTTTTCTTGCTCTTGTTTTATTTCTCCATCTACATATAAAGCAATGTGCCTGTGTGATTTTTCCCCTTAATTTT